AATAAATTTGTTAGTCTCTAAGGTGCCACAAGTACTCCTTTTCTTCTTTTTACCACCAGGGGAGCTCTGCAAACAAACTCCTATTGACTGAGCAGCTACATGAACCGCGAGGAGCCGTTCAAATGATACAGGCCCCGAGCGAGAGGCAGGTACTTTACAAAGGCACAAAATCCCAGTCTCTGGGAGCAGTGCTCTGGGGTCCTGCAGGCTCAGGGGCCGTTCCTGGAATCTCTCCTCAGCAGCTGCTCGCCGATAACACACACGTGGGTGTGCGACAGGCCCGAGGAACAACGCTGGCTGGTTCTGCTGGGGCATACGCCGCTCACTGCTGCCTTACCTGGGAAAAGCATCCAACCCAGAATGGGGAAAATCTTCATTGTTCTGCCTCTGCCCGCAGCCGGTTGGGACGTCGATTCCGGGGGAGTCTCTGTCCAGGAAAATCCTTCCTTTGTGTTCCTAGGAAGCCCCGGGTCCGGGTTTCTCCTGTAGGCGTTTGCAATGAAACAGACTCTCTAACAACTAGTTCTTTCACTACAAGGGTTCCTCTTATCTGCGCTACCTCACTTCCCTCGGGAAACGCTAAGGGGGAAGTGGCTGGTGTCTGGCTCAGTCGATGGTGGTTTGATTGCTGTGGGTGTTGTGTTTTTGTTTGGTGATTTTGTTTGCAAGCACCATGGCCTATTACAGGGTCTGGTGGAAAATTGAACCTGCAGTAGCAAGGGGTTCCTGACATTTCTGTGGATTTCCACCATCAAACCCTTCATTTTAAACACGCAAATATTCTCAGTCTTTTCTTATTTGGCAGATCTGCCCCGGGCAGTGTGTAAACCAACTTCCTGCTGCCCAGTGACCCAGCCTAGTCTTGCAGAAAATGGACAATAGCAACCGCAGAAAATGAACTCATCCAGTGGCACCACATGCCTCTTAACGTTTTAACTTTGTTCTTAGTTCTGGTTGAAAGGTTTAGTGTGGAAAGCTTTCCTGCTGCTGAACAATGTGTAATTGAAACTGAAATCTTTGTGGGAAAATTCCGTGAAATGTGTGAATTCTTTTTATTTTGAATCAACGTTTCAAAATGAAATGAAAATGTTAGTTTTGTTTGGACGTGGATTGCTTCCTTTAGGTTTTTTTTTTGGGGGGGGGCGGTAAATGAAGTGAAACAATACTTAATCAATTCAAAAAGTTGATTCAAAATGAAAATTCTTGTTTTAATAAGTTCAGAATTTCTGGAAAAACCTGAAAATTTTCAACTGAAATTTTGAACAAAGATTTTTTTTTTTTTTT